GGCCACCAGCCGCTGGCTCCAGGCAGGGGGGAGCAGGCCACTTTGGTCCCCTTGCCAGCTCTGAGGACCACGCGTGGTGCAGGCGCTTCCCCGGGGTCTGATGCTGCCATCACCCGGCACGCCCAGCGCCAGCCATTGCCCACCCCTCTGAGCCCATCTCCCATCACCCCACGAGCGTCTTTGGTCTTTACTGGGAGGAGAAGATGCAGACTGAGGAGCCGAGCGAGGAGCAGAGGAGTGGGGGACCCGCAGCGGCAGAGCTCAGACTTTCCGAAGAAGCCGTTTACCTCCCGGTAGCACGCCGCCTCCGGAGCGTACAGAGACAGTGTGCCCGGCCAGCAGGGCTCTCGCTAGGGTGACGGAGGCAGGGTCGAGTATGCTGGTCGGTCTTTCGTAGTGTTAGCTTTTTGTTACTCCAAAAGAAATCAGCTATAAATAAACGTATTTTTGTAATTTCCGCGTGTATATATGGTATATTTCTACCAATGGCCAATGTTTAGTCCAAAACCTAAACAGCTCGCAGCACCCTGTGGCCAGTGCGAGGGCTGCTGACGGACCCGGCGCCCGCTCCGCCCGACCGGCCTCGAATGCGCCTGAGTGAACAGAGAGCCAAAGACACGCTGCCTTTCCGTGTGAGTGGTGGCGCCCGATGTCAGCCACGTGTCCGCTTTCTCCGCCACGGACTCGCCCTGCGCTGCGCTCCACACGGCACCCAGCGCCCGCCACCCGCCACCCGGCTCACCCGGCACCGCCCGGACATGCTCCTGTCACGTGAGCACCCTAGGCCTGGTGTGACTGAGCCTCGCATCTCAGACATGAGCTGTGGGAGTTCCGGCCCCCACAGGACAGGACACGGTCTGCAGTGAGGGAAAAGGCCCAGCCACTCAGAGACACGGAGCCACAGATGACCATGGTCTTGGCGGAGCCCCACAAAGGAGGTCGTGGACTGAGACCACCAAGCATGTCGCGCGCTAAATCCCACCTTCTCTGAAACTAGATGCCGTGGGTTCGGGAGATGCACGTGAGAGGAGCTTGGCTGAAATGCATGCCCAGTGGGCGGACGGCCACCGTCGTTTCATTTGGTGACGAGGGTGTGGTCCCTTCTCTGAAGAGCTGTGGAGGTGACGTGGCAGGATGCCGACTGGGAAAAGGCAGGTGGTCAAAGTGGCTCCTAGAAGTGAAAACTGTTCCCTGAGAGCCCACAGAGGCAGCGGTCAACTCTAGGCTCTCAGACCTGTAAGACGGTCCCCTCAGAGGAGGAAGTGGAAGTCCGGAGGGGTGGGGTGACCAGCCCGGCTGACCCCCAGCCCATGGAGTCAAGGTGCTCCGGTACCACCTCCCCAGCGGCCTGCAGCGGTGTGGGGACACGTCGCCCTCTCTGCACCCAGAGGCTTAAGAAGCGGGCAAGATCACACGGTGACCGTAACAGCCTTGCCAGGAAAAAAGACGGCATCCGTGCGGACGCTCAGGCGCAGTGCAGAGGACGAGGCGCTGTGGCATGCTGAGCGCTGGCCCTGGGCTCATGTGAGTTCTCTCCGTTGGTGAAGAAGAGTGTGCCCAGGAGAGCCATCAGAGAGCTGGTGTCCTCACCCCTGAGCAAGACCGTGGGCACAGAGTCTCCTCTTGGCACCTGGGAACCAGAGATACAGGCAGGGCTACCTGGCAGCTCGTCGCTAGGAGAGCGACTGCTTCTCTGCGTGGGGAACGTCTGGCATGTGGCTGGGAGGGCAACTCCTGCTCCGTGTGGGGACAGTCTGATGTGTGGCCTGCTTCCTGCTCTCTGACGCAGCACGCACCCGAGGAGCAGGGTCACTGCTGTGGTGCTGGAAGTGCCGTATGTCTGTGGTCTAAGAGCCCAGCAGAAGGGCGTGCGATGTCTGAGTAACCGTGGTGGAAGAAAGCAGTCATTAGCTCTGTGATAAAAAAAGGAATCCAATCCTTCTGAGAGAGAGGTAGAGGGAGGAGGAGGGGCTGGAACACCCAGCCCAGAGAGCTGCTTTTCTAACTACAGAAACGAGAGAGAGCTTCTCTGTTCCTACATGGTACACTGCTGCTCGGTGTTGCGGGAGGGAAACAACAGGTGTCAGGTTAGGTGTGCACAGACCCAGCTGCAGTGGTGCAGGCAGTGGGATGCCACTGCCCACCACGAGGCCTGGGGTCAGCCCTGGACCCACCGCAGACCGGGCATGACAGGGCACATCTGTGATCCCGGCAAACGAGGAGGCCGAGCCAGGAGGCTCAGGGCATGGGGGCACCTCTCTTCCCAGGCCAGCAGTGGCATGGAGGTCAAGACGGCCGGACCCCACAGGGCCGACAACGGTCTCAGCCCCTGACTCAGCAGCTCGAGAAAGGTGCTGGCTGCGTGTGTGCGTCTCCCAGAGCCCAAGAGGAGCAGAAGATGGAGACGGGGTTGTAGCGTGACCACCCCCGTGGGGTGCTCCCCCGCCAGAGTACGTGTACCCTCTAGCAAATCATTCTCTATTTCTCGCCATCTCTCTCATTAAGGAAAAAAAGTTTGAAAACGGGATTTGACCGTGGTCCTAAGTCGCCCCTGCCACATACCAGGAATGACTGAGACTTCCCTCACGAAGTCCAGCCGGAGCCCGGAGGGAAAGCCAGGCGTTCCTCGGGCGAGTAGCGGTTGCCGGCCCCGAGTGCCGAAACCAGATCCCGGCCCTGAGCCCGGCCTCCACGGCGTCTGCCAGGGACAGCACCCTGCACTTGCTCAGGTATAGAGGTGGCTGAAAGAGACAGGAACACGTCACAGAAACGGAGCCCAGGTCCCCGCAGGGGAGGGGCGGGGCAGCGTCTGGCTCCTCTCCTCTCTCTCTCTCCTCTCTCGCCTCCCACCAACTTTCACCTGCTTCTCTCTGCACATCCGCTCAGCTCTCCAGCTCCCCTCAGCCACCGTCCCTCTCACGGCCCATGCACTGGGGCAGCCCCACAGGAGCCCCACACCCTTCCTCTCAGCCCTGCCTGTCCTGAGCAGCATCTCAGCCCCTGGTCAGTTGCTCCGTTTGTGGATGTGCCACCCTCGGCCAGGTGCCTGTCCCACCGGCTGACCGGGAGGAGGGTGTGCAGTACACCCGTGGCCTCCTGCACCATCTCACGGCTGAGGGGCTTTGGCTGGGACGAGTCCCCAGAGGAAGGAGCAAGAGTGGGGACCAGGAACCCGCTGCTCGCTGTAGACTGGAACTGGCCAGTCCTCCTAGGCGGCCACCCAACAGCCAGTTCTTGGGGAGTGGCCCTGATGGAGCCTGCTACAGAGGGAAAAGGGGCACCCCACATGCATGTCAGGTGAGAATCACGCTCCAAAGCCCTGCGAGACCTGCCCAAACCACCCAAGCACTTCCCAGCCAAGGCCAACCGCCGGTGCTGCCACTGGCCTGCAGCGTGACCCCGACCATGGCGGGCTGGTGCAGGCCTTGCCAAGTGACAGTAAATACTTGTACATTGAATTGCATGACTGCAGCTTGGTGCTATTCCCGCAGCTCACCGCACACCGGCATGGAGGAGAATACCAGTGAGCCTCTCGATGGGGCCTTTGAAACAAAATCGGGTTTAAGCGGAACTGGCATCGCCCTGGCTCTGACCTTCCTGCAGTAGGAAGCCGGTGTCCGGAGAACTGAAAGGCCTGCCAGCTGCCTGGGTGACCTGTTCTAGAACCCTGACCTGATTCACGCTGGACGGTTGGGTGTCCCTGAGAAGGAATGGTCAGGAGATAGTCACGCCAGAGCCATTTATTTTACGGGGTATGAAGTTGCTTTGATTCTGCAGGTTTCAAAAATAAAATATTGGGACCAGCAGTTAGCGTAATGGTTATGTCGCTGGACTCCCATGTAATCAACCATGGTTTAAGTCCCGGACCCGGCGGCTTAAACTCATGCTGGGCACATGTATGTGCGTGCGTGCCCAAGATGCCGAGAGGAGAATGGAGGAGAAGGGATTGAGGCATAGCCATCCCCCCGGGGGTGATTTCTCGCTTTCTGTCTGTCTCTCTCTGCCTGTCTGGCGAGTGCACACACCCTAGAGCAAAAACTTCTCCAAAATAAATAAATAAATAAGGAAATTTGTGCTACCACAGAAACCGTCTCTTAGGCCAGACCCACACTTTGGTGAGAGCCATTAGCTAATGAAATCCAGAAACTGGCTGCTCGGCTCCTGCCCTCAGTCAGGCTGTGGGTTACAGAGGGAGGCCGTTGGTGTACTTTACATAACTTTATTATTTCCCATACCTCTTCCCTCTGAATATACTCACCCCACACCCCCACACCCCAACACACTGAGCAAAGAAAATATTTGTACCACACAGAATCAGAGGAGTGTCGATGGACTGGAAATTTCGAAAAGGGTGTTGATATTCTCGACCTTGAGCAACTGTCTCTAAAGGCGACTCCAATCCGCCGTCCGTCGAGTGGGGAGAACACGCCAGCACCTCCTACTTTCAGGGCTGCTTGCCAGGGGCACGTAGCATAATGTGTCTGGAAAAGGCTTTAGAACGTGCACTGGAAGGAACTCTCACTAAATCATCTCACCATTCAGTTTTTCCAGCAAAACATTGTAGCGCCCCCGGCCGCCCAGCTGCCTCATGTTCTGCTGATAGGACGCAAGTTTTGGTGAAGAAATAAAAAGAAATGCCCAGGAAAGCCAGCCTCCTCTGGAGCCCCTGAGCCTGGCCGCAGTCTGTACTCCGGAGAGGTGTGCTTCCTTGCACACGGGCTGTCACTCTGGTGAGAAACCCAGACCAGGGAGTCTGAAACCAGCCCAGGCACACTGAATGTAGCTGCTGTTAACGCTTTGCTTTCTGCCCGCCTTGGATGTCCTTAGCCTCTGCCGG